CAATCACATGGTAGCTAACAACTTACTATAACTTGACAGTTCTAAGGAATCTGATGCAAGAAACTCTACCATCTTTATAGGCAGCCTATAATTAATTTCCAAAACAAAAAAATATATAAAATTAAAATGAGATAAACCAAGCAAGATAAACCAAAAGTGAAGCCAGGCCCAGCAGCTCACACCTGTAATCCCAGAACCTGCTTAGGAAGAGGGCTGCTTCAATGGAAAGGTCAGACCAGGCTACAGATGCTACTCTGTCTCACAGAACAAAAATCCAAATTAAAGTCATTAAAAGTTCCATATCATTTCTGTAATACCCCAAATTCCTGTCTCTGCACACTGGTACAAATCACAAGGGACTTTATGTTAAACGTTTACCAAGACTTCAACTCACCTCCTCCATAACCAGCTTGGGTGAAGCAACACGGATTGCAATTCCCATATCTGCCAGTTTGTCTAAGACATCCTGGAAATCTAAATTACGGCGTGATTTTGCTCGGGACAAGGCTCGGCCCTAGGACGAGAAGGATGGGGATAGGAATGAGCTTCACATTACAAATTTAGACCTAAATTTTATATTGGATTCCAGTAATTATTTAAACCCTTATGATTATCTGCCTTTTCCTTATTTAAATTCTTATTACACTCAATTATTTATTATTCATTCATTCATTTGTTTGTTCGTTCGTTAGTTTTCTATTGTTTTGTGTGTGTTTTGTTAAGTACACCCCAGCATGTGTGTGGAGCTTAGAGGACAACTTTCAGGAGCAGTTTCTCTCCTTCCCTGACTTGTTGACATAAGTCTCTGCTGCACTGCATGCTCCCATTCTGCTGTAGGAGTTCTGGCATTATGGACATGTGCCACCACATCTGGCTTTTTTTTTTTTGTCTTTTTTGAAACAGCGTCTCCCTGTAGCCCAGTTGGCCTGGAACTCACTATGTAGACCAGGCTGGCCCCTTGAACTCACAGAGATCCATCTGCCTCTGCTTCCCAAGTGCTGGGACTATAGGCGTGCATCACCACGCCTGGCCACATCTGGCTTTTTAACATGGAATTCAGTTCTTTAGTCTTGCGGCAGGTGCTGTTACCCATGAAACCATCAGGTGTGCCCTCTTGTTCACTTTGGAGCTAGGTCTTGCTATGCTGCTACCCTGCCCAGGCAGGCCTTGAGCTTAATATGTCTGCCACAGGCTTCTGAGTTATTGGGATTACAGGTACATACCACTGTACGAGGTTTTTTTTTTTTTAAAGTTTAAAAAAAAGTTAAAAAAAAAAATGACCTGGTGGGCTGGCAAGTTGGTTAAGTGGATAAAGACACTTGCCACCAAAATTGATGACTTAGTTCAATCCCCGGGATCCAGATGGTAGAAGGAGAGAACTGCAGCAAATTGTCCTCTGAACTCCATGTATATGCCATAGAAAACACAGCACCCACTCCAAATAAATAAATAATGTAATGGGGCCGGAGAGATGGTTCAGTGATTAGGAACACTGGCTGTTCTTGCAGAAGACCTGAGTTTGAATCCCAGCGCCCACATTCAGTGATTAGGAACACTGGCTGTTCTTGCAGAAGACCTGAGTTTGAATCCCAGCGCCCACATGGCAGCTAACAACTGTCTGTAACTCCAGTTCCAGGGGATCCAACAGC